TATGGATACTTAAAGAATCAACAAGATAGTTAAATTAACAAACTCAATATATCACGCATCACTACATATGAATGACCTACAGCTTGACCGTGTCTGCGCCCCCCATAGATAACAAAAGAAGGAAACACACCATTTGTAGTCTTATTTGTTTTTGGTTTAAGACTGCTTAAGAGAGGTATTTGTGTTTTAAATTTAGCGCTTACGTTAGCGCCAGTTGAAGCATGACAACGCCCACTCGTGAAACTCTAGAGAAGGCTCTGAAAAGCGATGCCAAGCTTCAAGCAGCAGCAACACAAATTGCCAATGGTAAGCACACTTCGAAAACCACCTGCAACCCATTTTAATTAAATTTATTTATTATAACAGAACTTGCTGGCGGCACCTACACCATTGCCGACCTGGCCGAACAGTTGGGTTTTGCGTTGACCTCTTCGGACACCGAGGAACGCGTTGCCGGCACAAATCTGTTGTCCGCTGTACTCGATGCTCTGCCCGGCGATGTCCTGAACTCCAAGCAGTTGGAATTTTTAACGACCTTCTACACGGATCGCCTACGCGATCATCACAATGTCATGCCCGCCATAATTGTGGGCCTGAATGCCTTGGTGCACATGAAGCAGCTGCCAGCTGAGAGTGTGCCGCTCCTGTTGCAAGCTTTCTTCCAATATACGACCTGTCAGTCGCAGACGCGCGGAGACCGCACCAAGATATTCAACATGTTTAAGTACCTCACAGTACATTACCAGCCAGGTGCGCTTTTATTACATGTTATTTTTTGGCCTAAAGTAATTGATTTGTTTTGCCTATCCAGAACTTGTTAAGATGTCTGGCGACTTTTTGTTTGGTCTGATCAATTCGATTGATGGAGAACGTGATCCACGCAATCTGGATATTATTTTTAGTTTTATGCCCGAGTTTATATCACAATATCCGCTATTGCATTTGGCCGAGGAGATGTTTGAAATCTTTGCCTGCTATTTCCCCATCGATTTTAACCCGAGCAAGGAGGATCCCGAGGCCATAACCCGCGATGCTCTCGCCGAGAAGTTAACCCACTGCTTGGTGGCGAGCGAACAATTTGCCGAATGGACCGTGTCGCTAGCCGTGGAGAAGCTGGACAGCGAGCTAGTTGTAGCCAAATTGGATTCCATTGAGTTGCTGGTAAGCAAATGATGGCTTATAATAACTGTATGGCTATATTAATTTCTTTTTGTGGCAGCATCAAGCGGCGCTCAAGTTCTCGCCAGCCGCACTGGAGCCTTACTTCGCGCAAATCTGGCAGGCATTGAAGGCGGAAACCTTTCCTGGCTCTGACAATGCCGATGTGTTGAGATGTGCTCTCAAAGCGCTTGCTGAGCTGCTGAAGAGCGCCGCCAAGGTGCCGAGCATCAGCCACAACTATCAGAGCAATGTGCTGGGCGTGGTGTTGCCCCACTTGAGCGATGTCCATCATCGCCTCTTTCACCCGGCCACTGCCATAGCTCTGATGTGCGTCTCAGGCGATGCGCCCTATGCTGGCGACAAAATTCTTAACACTTTTCTGCTTAAGCTGCAGACAACTGAGCTGAACCAGAAGATCAGCGAGGAGCGCATCAAGTTCTATCACATCATCAGCCAGGTGTATAAGCTGGCCGCACTGCGGGACTCGCTGACTAAGCTGGACAAGACTATACTGCTGCCGTTGCAGGACGATGTCATTGCGGCGCTACGTCTATGCGAGCGCGACGATTTCGATGCCAAGCAGGAGGACTTGGAGCTGCAAACGGCAGCTCTGTCAGTGCTCTGCGAATGTGTACCTGTGTTGAGCGAGGCGCAGCGTGCGCTGGTCTACAAGGCACTCGTACAGCTAATAAGCCATCCGTACATCGATCTGGACTTTAAGCTGTTGACTGTCAACCTAGGCGCCCTGCATCCCGTGGAGCTGCAGTCGTCCTTTATAGACCCATGCATTCGAAACTTTGACATATTCTCGGAGTTCATCAAACGTAAAATCTATTCGAATCTGTTGCCACTGCTGCCGCAGATCGCGTTTACACAGCGCATTCTTGATCTGGTCATGAAGGACGTATTCACGTCTACTGTCGCCGAACCGGGACGCCTTTTGGCCTTGGAAGCGCTCTCAACGCTGCTCAATCAGGAGGAGCAACGCTTCATAGTGGAGTTGCAGCAGCAATCAAATCTGTTGCACCAGCTTATTGAATTGGCACGTAATACACCCGCCTTGCCGCTGGCATCGCTGGAGCTGATCGCAGCCGCACTGAGTCGCATCATGCAGCAGCTGCCCCTCTCCGAGCAGAGTGCGATTGTCAGCGAGTATTTGCCGACGCTGGATCTGCAGGAGGCGGCACATCTGTACGTCGCCAGGGGTCTGCTAGGCTATCTGCACAAGGACATTTCTCTCGACGATCACTTCGAGCGTCTGCTGGACGATCTCACCAAGCTGTCGCTGAGCTCTGACAATGAACAGTTGCGCACCATTGCGCATCATTTGCTCTGCAGCTTGGTGAACAAAATGGACAACACTAAGGAGAATCGCAGCCAACTGAAACGCATCATACACCAGCTAAAAGAAGCCATCAAATCAGGTGACCAGCGAGCCGTTCACTTGCTGGCCTGGCTGGCCAAGGGCTTAGTGGTGGCTGGCTTCGAGGAGGCAGCCGAAATTATAACCGATGTGAGTGTAAATTGACTACAATAACTTGATTCAACTAACTTCATTTGCAATTTCCTTTATTTTGCCAGCTAACGGATCTGCTGGAGCATCCCACATTGTGCACCGCCGCTGCCTTGGCCTTTGACGTTATTGCTGCCGAGTTTCCGGAACTGGATTTGCCAGTTGTGAAATTTTTGTACAAGCAAAAGTTCTTCCACACCATCATGAACAAGCTGGGCAGCAAGCTCTCCAACTACTGTGAGCACCACATGAAGGCGTTCATCTATGTCCTAAAGACTACGCCCCACTCGGTGATTAGGCTAAACATCAAGCAGCTGGGTCCGCTGCTCTTCAAGACTTTGGACGCGCAAAGCGATGGACAGTTCCTTTGCATAGCACTGAACATATGCAATAACTTTGTGAAACAACAGGATGCGTATTTCCAGGCACATCTCGGACACATAATACCCAGCTGCCTAGAGCTGTCCAAGCAAAAGACTCAACCAAACATGGTTTGTTATCTAACATGGTCTAAAATACCCGAGTTACTAATTTATGTTTCTCTCCATATTGCAGCAAGTTCGTATCGCAGCGCTGCAGCTGCTCTATGACATAACCAAGTATCCGACTTATGTGCTGTTGCCCCACAAGGTGGACGTGACTCTGGCCCTGGCTGCCGCTCTGGACGATCCCAAGCGCTTGGTGCGTAATTCGGCTGTCAAGGCACGCAACGCTTGGTATTTGGTGGGCGCACCCAGCGGGGATTAGCGATACGAAGATAAGCAAATTGTTGTTAGCATTTTGATTCAATTGACAACGAAACTCAAACACGCACAATTGTTAAGTACTATGTGTCTAGCTGTGTTATTTATTGTTGCCGTTTAGTAGGGGTGTTCGCACTGCGATCGGGCCATTAGCGCACATTTCTGTGCGCGCTGCACAACGTCGGGGCAGCGACGCTTCCGCATGAAGCGGCAGTCCTGGAAGAAGCCCTCGTTGCGCGGAAATCCGTGTGTAAAGTCCTGAAAGGTGAGCAGGCCCCAGCCCCAGATCTTGCCGCCTCGGAATTCGCCTTCGTACTTCATGCCATCAGCGCGCCAGAATATGCCGTTGCCATGAAACCAGCCTTGGTGGAACTCCCCTTCGTATCTGTGCCATGCAATCGAAATTGAGTAGAGTCGGAATCGGGCTGCCTACTCAGAATACTCACTTGGCGCCGTCGGGAAACCAAAGGCAGCCGAGGCCCTGACTGAGGCCCTCCTGAAACTGTCCGTCGTAGCGTGTGCCGTCCGCGAACTGCAGATGGCCTATGCCATGCTTCTGGCCACGTTGGTTCCACTCGCCTATATACCGACTGGCGTCCTCGTAACGCCAGCCCCCCACCTTAACAGGGCCTCCACTGCTCTCATTCTGACCCTGTTGATGATAGTGCTGCTGCTGCTGCTGTTGGTTCTCGATGCGTGCTGTGGTTACGCCCACGCTGCTCACTGTAAGGGGTTGCGCTATAATCCTGATGAATGAACCAATTTTGAAGCTTTAGTCCACTTACTGTCATCATCATAGTCGTCCATGGCCATTGCTTTGCCACACGATGCGTTGCAAGCAGCTACTGAGCTTGCACTAACCGTGGCGCCTCCGCAAATGAGGCGCGCTTTCTGTGGCTTCAATGCAGCGGCCCCGGCTCAAATCTAATTAGCATATTGAGCCAACGGCACAGTGGTTTGAATGTGGGAAAACTGTGCGAGGCACGTGAAAATGTTCGATAGAAGAATATTTTTAAAGAACTCTATATGCAGCTATCCTTAGGTCTACTCCATGAATACGGTATTTTATATATATTTGATATATAATAGAGCCATCTATTAAATGTTTAATATTTTAATTTTAATGGAAAAGAGAACACATTGATTTGAAAATATCAAGGCAAATCAATAAAATATAGTAAAGCTTTTCAGTTTGGTATAAGAGTATATAATTAAATATTTCAAGTTTATTTATTACAATAAATATACTTCGAATTTTAAAATGTGTTGATTACTATAGACATCGGATTCTGAAATATACTATACTAGTCTGAAGAACAATTAATTATTTTTATTGATAATTAATAATTTATTAATAATTAATTAATTTTAAATTTTGCATTATGATATGCAAATAATTTGTAAGGATCAATGTCTATAGGATATCAAATAGATCTCTGTCTAAAAGATTTGGATTTTGTTTCATTACATTATTCGATTTTAAACAAAAAGAGGGATCTTAGAAGTTTTAAAAGATTTATGTTTTGAATAGTGTGGCACTATTTTCTGTCAACTTTTTATAAGTGTTTTGCTTCCTTCATTATATTTTTTAAGGATATACCATAAACATACTTGTCACTGTTAGTTTGTACATTACTTATTTTACAGGTTGTTTTCGAAAATCAAATACATCTGAAAATTTTGCTATTAATATTTTCTCGTTTATTGAATAAATAAATATTTAATGAAAAATATAATGAGAAAATCATCTAAATCTAATCTATAAATTACATTGTTTACAGGGTATACAGGGAAAATGCTCTCTATAAATAGGAATATTGATGAATTGGTATTTATATTATTTTGCTAAAACACAGGGTATATATGGAAAATGTTCTATGTAGATAGAAATATTAATAACGTCTCATTTATTTTATTTTTCTAACATGAACATCACCTAAATGAAATTGTAAGCTTTTACAGGGTATATAAAGAAAAGACTCTCTGTAAATAACAATATTACATTCAATTAATTTCCCACTTATTTTAATTTTCTAGAATATAATAAGAAACCCATCTAAATTAATGTCAACAAGAATATGTACTTTCATGGCCATCGTAGTCCTCCTCTCATAAACTACAAAAGATTAAGTTCTAAGCGGATTTGCATTTATTTTGACATCTTTTAAATTTGCCGCATTTCATTCACGACTTCAACCAACTGTTGCCAAGCACCTTGGCTGGCGTTGCCAAGGCTGAGGCGGACAGGCCCTTGGTTGGCAATGGGCAATGGTAGCCATGGCTACTTTGGGCGGCGCCACAACAAATCCCGGCTAGAAATTTTCGCAGAGCTCAGAAAATGCTGCATCAGGGCATAATCTTGCGCGAGGGACACGTCACGCGCACCATCTACACTCTGGTGAGTCTTTAATGTAGGCCAGAAAGAGGGGCAGCTCATCATTCGATTGTCTTTCGCTTAGATCAAGGATAAGCGCTATGAGGATGTGATCGAATGCATCGCGAACTGCGGCGAGGCAGCCAATACGAGGGCAGGACTCTCCACGCTGGGCCACTGCTACTACCATGCACAGAAGTACGAGGAGGCGGCCAGCTGCTACGAGCAGCTCTGCCAGCTGGTGCCCAAGGAGGCCAAGTACAGGTGAGCAGATGAACACCATTTATATAAATGTGTATGTATATGTGTGTGTGTATCTGGGCAACTCCTGCCTAGATTCTACTACGCCCAGTCGCTCTACCAGGCGGGCATCTTTGCGGATGCTTTGCGCGTGCTGAAGCAGATCGGCGACAAGGAGCTGGAGCTGCGTGAGCAGTGCCTGCAGCTGCAGAGCGCCATACTCTACTCTAGCGAGGACTATGCCGGCGCTCAGAGTCTGCTCAATCAGCGCGCTGGCGGCACAGCCGAAACGCTCAACGACGAGGGCTGCCTGCTCTATCAGGCGGATCAGCACGAGCTGGCGGTGCAGCGTTTCCAATCGGCACTGCAGGTGGGCGGCTTCAATCCTTTGGTGGCCTACAACGTGGCCCTCGCCCACTTTCAGCGGAAGCAACGCGCCCAGGCGCTGGATTACACGTCTGAGATTGTGGAGCGCGGCATGCGAAACCATCCGGAGCTGGGCATTGGCGCCCAGGTGGACACCGATGGCAGTGCGCGCAGCGTGGGCAATCCCATTACTATGGCCATGTCGGGCATCACCCAAGCGCTCAACCTGAAGGCCGCCTTGGAGTATCAGGATGGCAATGTGGAGGCGGCACGGGAGGCGCTGCTCGATCTGCCGCCGCGCGCAGAGAGCGAACTGGATCCGGTTACGCTGCACAACATGGCACTCACGGATGCCCAGGGTCCCGTTGCGGGCCTGCGCAAATTGGCCTTCCTGCTGCAGCTGGGCGCGCCTGCCTGCCCGAAGGAGACGTTCGCCAACATCTTGTTGATTTGCTGCAAACACGAGCTCTACGACACCGCCGCCGACATTCTGGCCGAGCACGCGGACCTCACCTACAAGTACCTGTCCCAGTATCTGTACGAGCTGCTGGATGCGCTGATCACGGCCCAGACCAGCGGGGAGCTGGCCGAGAAGAAGCTGGGCACGCTCGCCTCCAGCTTGTCGGGCAAGCTGCGCAGCCTGGCCGCTCGGGTGCAGGAGGTCAGAGCAACCAGTGAGCAGCAGGCGCTGCGCGATGCACTCAAGGACTACGAGCAGGCGCTGGAACTGTAGGTGCCTCAAGCTGACGCTTGTCTCCCAAGTACTCATGATCTCCTTTGTTGCTATAGCTACTTGCCGGTGGTCATGGCTCGTGCCTGGATCTCGTGGCGCGAAGACGACTTCCTGGGCGCCGAGCGCGAGTTTCGCTCCAGCGCCGAGTTCTGCTCGGAGAATGCCATCTGCTCGGTTTGGCGCTTGAATGCAGGCCATGTGCTCTTCATGCAGGACAAGTACAAGGAGGCGGCCGCCTTCTACGAGCCCATAGTGCGCCAGCACTCGGATGATGTAAGCTATCATCATTTCCTTCCCTCACTCAATTCTCTCTAGTCTCACTTCCTTCTTGCAGATTATGTCCGTCTCCGCTGCGGTGCTGGCCAATCTCTGTGTGTCCTACATCATGACGTTCCAGAATGAGGAGGCCGAGGAGCTGATGCGCAAGGTGGAGAACGCCGAGGAGCTGAAGGGCAACCAGGGCAAGCAGTATCATCACCTGTGCATCGTCAACCTGGTCGTTGGCACGCTGTACTGCGCCAAGTCCAACTACGAGTTCGGCCTCTCGCGCATCGCCCACGCCTTGGAGGGCGGCTCGGGGGCACGCCTCTACGCGGACACCTGGTTGCACGTGAAGCGCTGTATTCTCGGCCTGCTGACCGGCATGGCTAAGCAGAACATCATCCTGCCCTACGCAGCCGTGCAGGAGGTGCTGAACTTCCTCAAGTCCTGCGAGGCTTACGGCTTGTTCACACCCGCCAATATCTATGCGGCCACAGAGCAGGCACCCAGCGAGCCGCTGACCATTGGACTAGAGGCTCGAAAACTGAGACTCCTGCTGATCAAGCTGAGCGAATATGAAAATTATTGAGTAGCTTCTCCGACTGCTGTTCGAGTTGATATCAAAATGTAGATTATCTCCCCGTAAATCTCCCTCTTCAACTCCCCGATTAAATTGACTCTGCTCTCTTTTTCTTTACAATACGTAATTTAAGTTTATTTCAATATATGCTGCGCTGTTGAAGAACATTGTATATGATGGTTGCTTGTGGATTACAATTGGATTACAAGTGATTGGGCGATTATGTAGCGAAATGATAAACTGTTGCGTGTCCTCGGAACGTAAAATGCAAACTGCAAGCCAAACGAATCTTGTGCTGTAGCTCAAGCATGAGCATAGGCTGTATTTATATTAATTAATATTTATATATTTGCATAGAGTGATATATAGCTGGGCAAGCTTAGGCGAGCACCGCGGAGGTGGCCATCTCGCTGACGCCGCAAGTGTTGTCGCCACGATAGATGCGATAGTAGCCCTGCTCGCCCCAGCGAGGGCCCCACGAGTTCTTAACGATCCAATAGGGCAGCGTCTTGTGAAAGTTGGGATAGTCGGAGACGCCGTAGCCGACAATCAAAACGCCATGATCGAGATTCTTTTTGCTGCAGAGCGGGCCCCAGGGATGAGAGACGCCGCCACGATAGAACTGCATGGCATTTGCATTGAGGCCTGACAGAAACGGAGAGTTAAAGAGAGTATGTAAATCAAGCGATTCTAAGGTTCTTCTAAAAGTAATTACGCACCAATTGATATGGGTCCATTGGCCAGGAGCCACTCCTGCATGGCTGTCTCGTTGCCCTTGGGCAGATCGACAAAATCAGCGACTTGGACGTGGGACAGCGTCTTGTTGAAGTGGCACTGCTTCTTCTTGGCCAGATAGGGATACTCGGACTCGTACTCCAGCCCGCCAATGTCCTTGATGGCTCTATTTTGGAGGATTACCAATTAGCTGCGTTTATATTTGCATTACTTAGCAGCGATTACTCACTTGTAGGCGTTGTCCATTAGGCCGCCATTGCAGGCGCTGTCAGTGGAGTCACAGTCGAGCAGCTCCTGCTCGGAGAACTCTCGCAGCTCACCCGTTTTAATGGCATACAAGCCTTCGATGTTGCCGGTCACGCTGAATGCCCAGCAGGAGCCGCACGAGCCTTGGTTCTTGACTTGCGTCACGGCATTCTTTTCCCTCCAGTCGAATTCCTTGGGCAGTTCACCTTTATAGGCAGGCACCACGGCAGGTTTTCCGCCCGTTGGCTTATTGGCGCTGCGCTGCCACAGGCCCGCGCGCTGTGTGTACTCCGAGCTGGTCATGTCGGCAAACTCCGTGATGCCATACTTGGCACTGCCCTGCTCATTGTCGTTCAGCTCCTGGATGGTTCTCAGATTCTGGCGGAAGATGCGCAGACGCATCTGGTGCTCCATGCTGTTGGCGTAGCGGCGCTTGTATTTGATCTGGAACACGTGGAACAGATGATCCACCTTGTTGAGCGAGTGGTGATTGTGCTTCTTGTGCGTCTTCTTCTCGGCCCATTCCACGGAGCGACTGTGCCGGGCATGCACCGCCGGCTGGTTGTGGCACTTGAACGTTATCTTGTGGCCCTGCTCCAGCCACGGCTGTGCCCAGATCTCAACGATGCAGCGTCTCTGCTCATCATTGCCATCGATCAGATCCGCATCGATGCGAGTCAGAGTGCCAGAGACAAGCTGACGCGACGCCGTATAGACCTTTACAATCCTGTTGAGGAAGGGATCTCTTCTTAAGGACTGTCTATGAGAAAATGACAGGGGCTAATAGATATTTACTTGTAGTGCGGTCCATCGCCAGCGGTTAGCTTGTCAAGAGTCTGCTGGAGCTGCTCCTCGGCCTGCTTCTCGTCAAAGGGCTTGCTGCCGCCCAGGGGCACATCGTTCAAGCCACGCCTCTTGCGAGAGACCTGCAAAATCCAAACAAAGCAGGGAATAGCTATGAGAATCGAAAGACCTAAATCAAGCCAAACAAAGCAATCGAATTATATTCACGACATATTTATTATTTCTATATTTTGTAATTTAGGTGTCCCATTAACGATCTCTACTATGCTCGGACGAAAATTTGGATTTGCATTTTGATTCGCCGGTTTTTATTATGCTCATCTAGAGTCCGCATTCGGCTGGTATGATATAGTCGTCCATAACGCGAACACGGCGCAGCTGGCCCCGTGAATCGACTCCCACTTGACCCACATCCGATTCCAACTTCTGCTCGTATTCGAGGCGCTGCAGATTCTTCTCCCGACGAGTCACGACCATTGCCGCCGCGGCGAGTCCTTCGTGGCGCAGCCAGCTGGACATGATCCAAATGCTACGCAGGCGCAGCAGCAGCGAAGTTGTCTTCATCTCTAGTCTCTAGTCTGTAGTCTCTCTTCTTCACACACTCTCTCCCGCCCTATCTCTTACACTGCCTATCGCTTTCTCAATTTATATATGGTATTCCTCTCTGTGTTTCTACTGTGAAATTTTTAAGAATTCTTGAGCAAGTCAATGGGAATCACCTATAAAAAATCAACGTTAAACGAATATAAAAATATTAGTTAACAAGGTGTGAGTGTTTGCTTTTTTTGGTAGTGTAAGCTTTTGTTGTTCAAATGAACAAGTTTTAAAAAATATAAACCTCAATTCGGCTAGGAGCTGCGCTTGCTGAGAGCTGTACAAATTTAAGAGAGAGAAAAAAGAAATCCAAAATGTAAACTGAATGGAATCGATTGCCTCACTAATCTCTCAATGATAGCTAAAGCAAGCAGCTGGCTGGCAGGAAGCAACAAACCATTTAGCCAGCTCGGATGCGAATAACAACAATGGCGTGGCACGAGGCGGCATTTCACCCTTTGGTGGCTCTCGTAGAGACACATGTGGCATATAAAGCATTCAATGGCAAACGCAAAACCAATTAAACCAAACATTTTTGGCTCGAAATTCGTTGCCTGCTGGCAGGGCTAGATTATTGTTGAAGCAGCTAGCAGGAGGAGCAGGTGTCGGGCGATGCCTACCAAACGTACATTACCTCTATATATACATATATATATATATATGTATATGAGTGCGTGTGTGTGTGTGTGAGTGGGTGTGTGTAATTGACGTAGCAGCTGGAGCAGGAGCAGGAGCAGGAGCAGTAACAGCAGCCATTGCAGGTGTGGAGCAGCTAGTTGGTGAATGCAATGACAACAATACGAAATGAAATGTAATGGCAACGACGTGTGTATAATTAAAAAGATTGCCAGGCCCAATCGGGGTTCGAACATGGCGGCGGTGGAGCTGGAACAACGGCAACGGCAATGGCAATGGCAACGGCAACGGCAACGGCAACGGGAATGGCAATAGCAGCAACAGCGCAGGTTTCTGTTTCCGTTTGACCTGTCGCGACATGAATTCATTAAGTTGCCTGTTTTATACTCGCTCTCGATGTGCTCGGGAGTATATTGACTCTTTCAATATTCGTTTGCGTAGCGAAAGACATAATGTGTAAAATATATTGATCTTGCTTGCTCCAAAGAGGGGGGAGTTTTTACGTTTATATGCTCGCTCACGATGTTACCCTTTAGAATATATCACAGAGCAGCATACATTGCTCTCATGTTGTTCTGAGAGGAGTCTCTTCATTTTAATGCTAGACTATTTCGGTATTTAATACTCGCTTAATGAGTAAATATATGAATTCTCTTCTAAAATTTTTTCTATTCCACTCGATCAGGTGTGGCGTTAAAGTTATATAAATTTTTCATATGAGTATATTGACTTGTTCAATACTTCTCGGAGAAGTTTTACTGCTGGAGGCTATTCGTATTCAATACTTGCTCAGCATTCGTTAATGAGCATATATAGGTTTCCAAAATATTTCATTTCAGAGTATGCTCGCTCATGTAGTACACAGGGTTTTCATACTCGCTCACGAAGTGATAAAGAATATATTAAACTAACGTCTGTTTGTACGCACTTGCCTCCCGGAAACTTTTACTTGACAATTTGGTGAGCGGGAAAAAGAGATATATACTCAATTGGAAGTGAGATAAAGAGATTTTATTAGCCACCAGTGAGTTGTGAGCAAGTATTAAGCAGTCGGTAGTGCTATGGATTGCACAATTTTTTTTTGTTTTGGGTCAGTTCAGAGCTTCTATAGAGGTCCGTTCCAATGGGAACCCATTGTCCTTGTCACATTCTGTTGTTCAATAACTATTAAAACGTAAATTATATCCCGGCCACTCGACAGTTTTTGTATGCGCACTAAATGGAGCGTGAAATGCATTCGGAATATGCGGAGAGCCGAGTGCTCGACACTCGATTGAATTCGCTAATCCCGCAGATTAAATGTCAAATTCGATTCAGTTTGCAGTGTTGCTTGGCCCGATTACCGATGTGATTTATTAGATTCATCCATCCATATACTATGTATACGCGATGATGATTCATGCATCAGTGATGATTCGCTGAACTCGTTGAAAAGTGGGTTAAGCAGGATACTCGCACGTTTATTTGAGCAGAGCTCGAGTACTGTAAGAGCTAGAGTATTTATAATTAATGTGTAAGCTCTACTAAATCATACTCTAATAGCAAATATTTCCTTTTTTTTAGGTCCTTTTATATCTACGAACAGTACAAACAGAATTGCAGATGAAAGCATTACATAGAAATAGATATTAGTCTATCTTCCCGCCAAATATACCCCACTTGAGTAGGAGTAAGGAAACTTAATAAACCGAACAAAATGAGCTAGGCGCATACTTAGTTAAATATATTCCAAATTGTTTATATGCCAGCTAGTGTATTCGAGTTTTCGCATAAAGACAAGTCCCCACCGGGTGCTATTTGAATTCCGTCTTCTATTTGACGCAGACACTGTGCAATGGCCGCTGCATCAGTTGGGTGTTAAAAGTAGAGCATCAAGGATAATGAGAGCACTTTTCCACAGAGCAGTGTATGCTGCTAAGGGGCACACGCACACACACACAGACACACACACACTTACAAACATAGAGTGCGGCACTTGAGGTGAGCTCTCTAAGATATGTACACACACACACGCACATACATATATACATGTACATATTTATATAGACGGTTGTGGACGGGGCGAATGCGACACGGGCCGGGTTAAACAGATTGCGGCCGTAATTTGAAAGCGAAAACTCATTTGATTATTAAGCTGAAATAAGTGGTGGGGGGGCGCACAGATGCTGGGGGCGGGCCAGTCGCAGAGAGGGCTTCTCGCTTGGTTGGACTATGCCAACAACGCACAGGTGTGTGTGTGTGTGTGTGTGCGTGTGAGCCTTTGTGTTGTTTGTGTGTGTGTGTCTGTTTGTGGTGCACAGGTGAGAAAAACGAGCAGCTTAAATAAATTTAATTAAATAACATTTTCTTTTTATTGTTTGCATTTACTTTACGAGTATTTTTAGAAATGGGAGTATATAGAACAGGGGGGCGTGTGTAACTGGGTGATTGTGCGTGCGTGTGTGTGTGTGTGTGGGGGGTGGTTGTGTGTGAGAGTGTATGATAATAATATTCATGACTCATGATGGTTAAGATAATGAAGACTGCTGTGCATCCTGCTCCAGCTGCTGTGGCTGCTGCTCTGTCTGCTCCTGTTGCTGCTCTTCGACTGGTTCCTGTTGCTGCTCCTCCACCTGTGCCGTCTCTTCACTTTGTTGCTGTTGTTGTTGTTGTTGCTGCTGCTGTTTCAACTCGGCGCGCTGCTCCTCGATAGTTTTTTCAAAATTAAACGCACCCACTGATAGAAAATCGTCCAGCCAACGCTTCTCGTTTTCATTGAGCTCCGCTGTGGGCGTGGTCATGGCAATAGACGCGGCCGTAGATGTGTTGGCATCCCCTGTGTCGCTCTCAACGTCAGCTGTGGCTGCCTCGTTAACGTTAATTGACATTGCGGGCTCATTAGTGGGCACCACTTGTGGGGCCAGAGCTGTGGGGCTGTTGCTGGTGCTGGTGGTGCTTACTGAGCTGCCACTGCCCCTGCCGCTGCTGCTGCTGCTGCTGCTAACCCGTCGCTTGTTTTCGTTTGTCAATATTTGGGCTTCCAGATGAGCCATATCGCTGTCACTCAACTCGTTGCGTCGCCCGCCATTGAAGATGGTGTTACTCACATATTTCTCGTTGAGCGCCTTGGCCCGCTCCTCGCGATCGGCCTCGAAGGTCAGAGCATTGTCGGCCACATCGCTGCAATTGGTGTTGACCAGCTCCCGGTGCTTGTCGCCCCACTGGGTGGTCAGCCAGGGCTTCTCCAGTATCACCAGGCGACAGATCGTATCCGCATCGTTGGCCTTTGTGTCCACTGCATTCAACAGTATTTCGTATCGCACACCATTCACAATTTCACGAAAGGCATCGATGATGTTCACAAAGTTCATCGAGAGGGGCAGAAAGGACATCGCTATATTCTGCACGCCAATCAAATTGGGCGAGAGATACTCTCGCTCTCCAGGATTCAGCACATGGACCAATTTGATAGGCGGCTCGCTGATCGCCTCATCCGTACTCTCTGTCTGTGTCTGTGTGTGTGGGTTGGTGTGTTTGTGTATGTGTGTGTGTGTGTGTGTGTGGCAAAGACAAAAACAGAAAGCAAAACACAAATTCGTTTAAGGAATATAAACACACACAAAGAAAGTAAGAGAGTAAGAGAGAAAGAGAGAAAGATGGGGAGAGTGAGACCTTTAGACCTCTAAAATGAAAGCACATACATTTTCAAGCATGAAGCATTAGCCTTTATGACAATACAACAAGAAACCATCTTGTGTGTATGTGCGAATGTATATATATGTGTGTGTGTGCCAACACCATGAAACAATAGCTTGCGCAAGTGATTAAATAAAGTGCTTAGACATAGCATGGAGCCCATGTTGATATAATCATTAATATTAGCTGGGTTATTGCATTCGAAGTGTTAATAAAGCGAAGTAAATTGTTCACGCCGATGATTGACTGGTGACTGTTTGACTGATTGACTGATTGACTAATTAATGCCACGAGTAAAGCTAGACTGAAATTGTTTTTATTCAATTGAGACTTGGTCTACATAACTTGATGCAGACATTTTCATCATAATAAATCTACTGATAGTAAAAGCCTCTAGACACTTAATATTCTCATACAATCAAGCAGTGATATTAATTAGTTAGTTAATTGCACATAGACAATTTAGCTGAGGGATGCTCAGCAGTCATGGGCAACAATTGAATAATATTTGTCTACCTAGCAAATGATAGACATGCATAAGCATGCATGGCATCTCGCATGGCAGTGAAGCTGTTCATCAAATTGTTGCTCAACCAATATATGTATATATACTTATAATACATATTTAAGTGAATTATAGATAAATCAGATTATGGACCCACTCAGGCTACTACGGCTTAATGAACTTAAAATCTGGATGTCAAATTGGAAATCGATAGCGAGCTAATTAAGAAATGATTTTAAAACTGGCAACTGCTTTAATGGCGTGTCAAGCAAAGCCTGCAGCTTTTGCCTCCCACTTGGCTGCCCCGCCTTTGCTTTTGGCCGGCCTAATGAACTCAGCATAATTGCAATTACATTGCGGCAAAAGAGGTGTGAGAGAAGAGCGAAAGAGAGAGCGAGAGATGTAGAGTAAGTAGCGCGAAGTGTGTGTGTGTGTGTGTGTGTGCTGTGCTCTGCAGAGGAGATATTTTGGCCAATCAAGTCAATCAGTGGAGCAACGCTTCGCTGAGCTTGTGGCAGGTCACAAAAACTAATTAACC